CCCTTAACCGCGAGATGGCCACCACAGAGGTGCTGAAGCGCCTGGGCATGTGGATCGAGGACCCCAGGTAAGGCCAGCGGTCCTGGATTTGGGCCCGGGAGGCACAGAGGAAAGTGAGATGGTCGGAGAAGTCAAAAAGAGGTCATAGAACAAGCACGCCCTAGCAGTGCTGGCCGCCACGGTGGTACAGACAGATGTCTGCCGTGGCTAGCAGTGCACTTGCGTTCTGTCTCAGTGGGAACTCCATGCAGAGAGTCTAATCAGAGAACTCAGGCTGAGTGGTGTCCCCACTCCTCCTGCTTCCTCTAGCTAATCCCTTACTCATCCTGTCTCCATTCTCACCCAGGCGTCCCCTACCCTGGGCTGTCAGTGCCCACCCCAAGCGCCGGGAGGAAGATGTACGCCCCATATTCTGGGCCTCCAGACCAAAGAGTTACATCTACCGTACACAAGAGTGGGATGAGTTCCCTAATGGCCGCTGGTGAGCACCTGCTGGTGGCAGCCCGTTACGAGGGTATTCTCTTGCTTGGGGTGGAGACGGAGGGAGTTTGCCTGCTTATTTATGTGCTTTTTTGGGAGCAACCTGGGGTAGGATTCACAGGAATGTCCCCTGAGTGGGTGGGTGCAACCGTCCCTCTGTCGGGAGCCCCAGGTCAGGAGTGTGCCTTGCCCTCTGGGCACCTCCTCTGCCAGGGGCAATTCCTCCTCTCCAGCCTTCGGGGAGCTGAAGGACTACTACCTCTTCTACCTGAAGAGCAAGTCCCCGAGGGAGGAGCTACTGAAGATGTGGGGGGAGGAGCTGACCAGTGAAGAAAGTGTCTTTGAAGTCTTTGCCCGCTACCTCTCGGGAGAGCCCAACCAGCACGGCTACAAGGTGAGTGATGTGGGCTCCTCGGTTATACTCCCCTACCCTTTCTCCCTGTGGGCCCGACCTCAGGGCCGTGGCTCTCAGTGCTCCTGCTCACTCAGGCCTCCCCTCCTTCTGCTTGAATGTGACACCTCGACAGAGGGAAGGGTGAGCTGGGAAGATCCCACCTAGGGCGCCTAGAAGGGCTGACGTAGTTGTAGGCAGAGCCCTCGAGAGGGAGGAGCCTAGGGTGCCCTGTGTGATCGCAGCTTCAGCCTGTCCTCTCTCCCAGGTGACTTGCCTGCCCTGGAATGACGAGCCCTTGGCGGCCGAGACCAGCCTGATGAAGGAGGAGCTGCTGCGAGTGAACCGGCAGGGCATCCTCACCATCAACTCCCAGCCCAACATCAACGGGAAACCATCCTCTGACCCCATCGTGGGCTGGGGCCCCAGCGGGGGCTATGTCTTCCAGAAGGTGCGGCAGGGACACACAGGGCTGCCCCACCTCCACCGGCACCCAGGGGTTCCCTAGAGATGGGGACAGAGAAGCCTTCCTCCCTGGGGTCTCTTCATTCTAAGGGGCAGAGGATCAGAGCGGCCAGGAGCCCACGCTTTGAGTCCCGCAGCCCTGGGGATGCAGGTCGCTTGCCCGCTCTGAGCTTCAGCTGGCTCTTCTGTAAAATGAGTTTAGGTCACATCATGTTCTGGGGCCAAAACATGACAGAGCACATGCTTAGCAGGTGGGAGGAACGCAGGAAGCATTCACCTGCTGGAGCTGTTACTGGTGTCCTGAGTTGGCACCTTTCTCCTGGGGCTGCTAGAGTTAAGATTACATTCTAGAATTGCAGCCTGTGGGCTTGAGTTTGAAAGGCCTGGCTTTGAGGACCAGCTCTGCTGTTTACCTTCAGCACAGCCAAGTTGCTCAGCCTCTCTGAACTTAGTTTCCACATCTGTGAAATGGGGATCAGTGCGCTTCCCCTGCAGTTTATTAACGCAGCCTACTCCCTGACAGGCAGTGGGTGCCCCGAGAAGCCCTTGGTGTCCGTGTTGCCCTCCAGCGAGTGGGGAGGATGGGATGTGTCAGGCCTCTCTCCCGGGTCTCCACTTACCAAACGGGGCCTCCCGTCCGGCTTCCAAAGGGGCTTCTCCCAGGAGCCTTCCCTGGTTGGAAGGGTGGCACAGGTGTCCCTCAGGCCTGTCCAGACAAACCTCACATAGCTGCTCCCCTCCCCGCTGCTTGTATTCGCCCGCTCTGAGCTCCTGATTCTATCCACGTGGCCACACCAGTCCCAGTGTGTCAAGTCCTGCCATGCTTGTCTGCGGGCTGCCTCCCCGGGACGGTCGGAGGGCAAGGGTCTAGGGTCCGGGCGTGCAGGGACTGGGGTTGATGGGGGCGGTGCCTGTCCTTGTCCCACAGGCCTACTTGGAGTTCTTCACTTCCCGCGAGACGGTGGGGGCGCTTCTGCAGGTGCTGAAGAAGTATGAGCTCCGGGTTAATTACCACATCGTGGACGTGAAGGTAGGCCGGCTCCCGGGGCTTAGACGGCGCTCCGCGGCCCAGGGTCCCAGGCCGCAGGCACCGCGTGTCCTGCTCCCCTCAGCGAGCACTGAGCACCTGGCCCTGGCCAACGTGGTGGAAATGGGTACACGTACCCAGAGCCAGGCCCCTGCCCTGGCTCAGAGCCCCCAGTGTAGTGAGGGGGCCCGGTCAGCGGGTAATTGCCAGTCCAGTTGCACTCTTAACAGTAAGGCTCATTAGAGGATGCTGGGGACCCAGGGACAGGACGTCTAACCTGGGAGGCCAGGGAAGGCTTGAGGGGTCCCCTGTGGCTGGAATCTTTGAGGACAGAGGGCGTCACAGGGAAAGAGCAGGGGTGTGTGAACGCATTGTCTGCACGGCCTGTGGGGACATGCCGAGTGGGTTCAGAGGAAGGCTGACTTGGGATTGACTGTCCTGCTGGGCGTCTGGGTTTTCCCCTGAAGGCGAGAGGGAGCCTTTCCCAGCAGTGGTGACTAGGCTCCGTGTTGTCATAGGCGGTGGATGGCGGTGGGGTAAGAGCGCCAGGGAGGACTGGAATCAGAGGCCCTGCGGCAGCCCGAGTGGCAGAGAGAGGCCTGGCTGGGCAGACCCGAGGGCAGCCAGCAGGAGCCAGCAGGCGTGGGGGGTGTGGAGCTTGGGACACATGGGGGAGGAAGGAAATGGGCAGCCCCTGGCCTTTCACGGAGCTGCAGAGCGAGGAGGGCAGCTGAAGCGGGTGAGCCGGTCCAGGCAGTGAGGGGGCTGCAGTGGCAGCCCCCAGGTGTGCTCTGACCCCCTCCTGCCCTCAGGGTGAAAACATCACCAATGCGCCTGAGCTGCAGCCCAATGCCGTCACTTGGGGCATCTTCCCGGGGCGGGAGATCATCCAGCCTACGGTGGTAGACCCTGTCAGCTTCATGTTCTGGAAGGTAAGGGGGCGGGAAGGTGTCGTCGGGGCCACACCCCCGCGGCCGGTGGCTCCGCCTTCCTGGCTGGGCCCTGACTGGACTCCGGGTGGATTCCTGCGGTGGAGGATGGGAGGCGGCTTTGGCAGCTCGCCTTGTTCTATTCCTGGAAATGGCCTGTTGGGCAGCGGGGAGGCCCTGGGGCGCTGAGCATGGAGCCCTGCCCCAAGGGCAGCCCCGTTCACCTTGCCTGCGTGTCTGCGCGTGCGCAGGATGAAGCCTTCGCCCTGTGGATCGAGCAGTGGGGCAAGCTGTATGAGGAGGAGTCCCCGTCCCGCATGATCATCCAGTACATCCACGACAACTACTTCCTGGTCAACCTGGTGGACAATGAGTTTCCGCTGGACAACTGCCTGTGGCAAGTGGTGGAAGACACGTTTGAACTTCTCAAGGGGCCCTCACCAGAGCGAGAGGCAGAGGCTCTATGAGCCCGCACCCCGGTGTCCTTGGCTCGAGGCCACCCGTGTCCTGCCTTCCTTCTCCCCAGTCCTGGTTTTCTGGGGGACCCCTCCCCTCCATTTCTCCCGAGCCCTGGCCTCCACTCCTCATGTGACGGCAGCTAGACCGTGTGAGGCTCCCGGGCTCGGGCCGGACCGGAGTCGGCCCCACACGGGAGCCTGGTATCCTTGCTCCGCCGAGACCTGTGCTCTTCGGTAAGGAGCCTCTCCCTGCTGGGGAGGACCACGCGGGTAGAACAGCGTCCTCCGCGAGGGGGAGAGGCGGGGTTGTTGCCCACTGGGTCCTTGAACCAGAGCAGCCCCAGCCCTGGGGAGATGCTGGCCTGGGGCTGCCGGGGACCTTGCGCTCGCGGTGCGCCGTCTCGAAGGGCCGCCCGCTGGCCTCTGAGGCGGGGGCCGCCGGCTCTTCTACCCGTGACTGGAGGGGCAGAGCGCTGCCCTGCCCACCTGCTTGCACAGGCCGCGGGCCGGGGCCCCGGACAGGCCTCGGTGAAGCCCGTCAGTGCGAGAAATCCCCGCCCCCATCTGCCGGAGAGCCAGCTGGGCTTCCACCTTCCTACCATGCTGCTCTTCGAAAGAACAGTTTCTGTGTTCCGCTGGCTCAGGAGGGAAGGTGCCCCGTAGAGGAGGAAGGCATCTGAGCCTTTATACCTTCCCCCTTGCCCCCCACGCCCCGGCCACGGACGCATTCCCTGCCTGTTCCTGTCAGGGCCAACATAAGACTCCTCTGAGCAGAACTTCTTTCTTCGGGCTTTTTCTTATCAGGTGGGACCTCTTAGTACCAGCCACGCCCTCCCCTCTGCTCACCCTGTTCCTGATGCTCTGCCCGGCGCTGCTCCCTGGGAGTCAGCCCTCGAGCCTCCCTGCCTGCTGCTCTCCTCTCCGCTAGCTCAGCAGGTTGGGGGGGGGGGGTAGCTGTCCAAGGAGCAGCCGGATGGCAGAAGAGGCAGGCGCAGCCGCGGGTGTACCCTCTTCACTTCTCCCAGGGTGGCTGACCGAGGGGGGCGCGGGGGGCAGTATTTAGAAGAGACGGAGCAAGGGAAGCAGCTAGGAGTAAGGAGGGTGTTTTATTGTCCTTCAGAGCTCAGAGAGCAGTCCCCTGTCACCAGGCTGTGAGATGAGTGCCTGGTGGCCTGAGCCTGCACTCCCAGATGGGGCATGGTGGGGCATGGTTTCCTCCTTCGGGAGGCTGGGCTCAGTGTTGTTTTTCTTTCCATGGGAACAAGTCACAGCTGCAGCTGGGTCCCCTGCTCCGCCCCAAGTCCACCACACACATGGGCTCGGGCAGCTTGCAGCTGCTCCCTGGGCTCCTGAGGCCTGTGGTTATCAGGCTGCTGGTGGCCCCTCTCTTCCGGCCCCTGGCTGCCAGGTGCTGGCACCACTTCTCAAAGGCCTGGAATCAGGGAGGAGGAAGGAAAGGCTATTTGGCTCCCTCCTGGGCCCACTGTATTTGCCAGGCCAACACCTGTGCCCAGCTCCTCCTGTGCCCAGAGGGAAGAAGAGACCCCTCCGTCCACCCCAGCCAGCCAGCCAGCTCTGCCCCAGGCCAGATGCACAGGCTCAGAACAGATCCGGACCTGGGAAGCTATGCCCAGAGTGGGGCAGATAAGGGAGGGGGCACTCAGGGACTTGTACCCATGGGCTAGTGTGAGTGGTAGCCATGCTGTAGCCAAGCCTCCTTCCCACACCAAGTGGCCAGGTAGGACTGGGCTGAGCACGTGATCACCAGCTAAATCAGGATCCAAGCGGTGTTTTCTGTAATGGGCCTGCCCCCTTCCCCTGAAAATGGAGGGGCCCTGGGGGTGGTGACAGGGAGGGCCCCCAGCTCAGAAATGACCGGGTCTGGTGCTGGTTTGGGAAGAGCTGCTGCAGGGGTGGGGGTAGGAGAGGGGGACACCCTCCGAACCTGGGAAAGGGCCCAGCCACATTCTTGGTGCTGTAATTGCTGAGCCACCCGCAGCTGCAGGACCTGCCGCCGCCACACACGCCAGGCCCACTTCAGGTGCCACTGCCTCAGCTGTGGGGGTGGGTGGTGAGCGGGCCCACTGCTGCCCCCCACCCCTCTGCTGCGACTTCCCCCTTCGGCTCTGCAGCCTCAGGACGGAGGGGCTGTGACGGGGCCTGGGCGGGCGGGTCCCCTGAGGTGTGTGTGCATGCAGATGCCTGCGCCCAACCCCAAGTTGTTCAGACTTGGTCCATACAGAGACCGAGATGCTTTGAGAGACCTCATTCCTTGGGGTTAGGGCTGAGGACGAGAGGAGCTGCGGCATCAGCCGGGGCCGGGGAGGGGCTGCCCCCACTCACCAGCGTCCGTGCCAGCTGCTCCCCGCCCTGAGCATCTACCCAGCGCTGCCATGTCGCTGCCAGGCGCCTGGCCCGCTCCGAGCCCTGGAGCCGGCGAAGCAACGCCTCGTGGCGCCAGCGCTGCCCGTATTTCCTCCTGGTGGGGGGAGGCCCTGGCGTGCACCCCGATAGCCGAGAGCATCAGGGCCCCACGCCCCGGAGGAGGCCCGGAGCCAGGGACCCCCGGATCCTCCGGGATGGAGCGCGGGCCGGAGACGGCCCCGCCCCCGCCTCGACCAGGCCCAGGCCCGGCCCGGTTAGGGCCCCGCCCCTGCCTTGGCGTGGCCCCGCCCCGGCCCTGTTAGGGCCCCGTCCTGGCTTAGGCCCCGCCCCCGCCTCGACCAGGCCCCGGCCCGGCCCGGTTAGGGCCCCGCCCCTGCCTCGGCGTGGCCCCGCCCCGGCCCTGTTAGGGCCCCGTCCTGGCTCAGGCCCCGCCCCCAGCCTGGCCCCGGCCCGGTTCAGGCCCCGCCCCCGCGTCGGCCTGGCCCGGCTCTGGCTCAGGCCCCGCCCCTGGCCTGGCTCAGGCCCCGCCTCCACTTGGCCCCGCCCCCGCCGGCCCGCGCCCGCGCCCGCGCACGCGCAGCCGCGCTTACCCCAGGCGCCTCTCCGCGGCGTCGCCCAGGCGGCCGGGGGCGCGGACCTGGGAGCTCGAGGCCGCTCGGGGTGCTGCGGGCCGCCCTCCGCGGAGGGCCCGGCGGGCCGGGGGCTGGTCGCCGCCTGGAGAGAGGGTGACGGAGACCAGTGCAGAGGACGGCTGGCCGGGGCCGGGGCCGGGGCCGGGGCCGGGGCCGGGGCCGGGGCCGATGGCGATGCCCAGGCCTGGAGGGCGGGGCCGGCCGGTCTCCTTACCGTGCGCGCGGGTCTCCGGTCTCCGCTCGCGTCCGCAGATGCTCCGGGCGGGGCCGCGCCGCGTGCCGAGGCGGGGGGTCTGGGGAGCAGCCGGCGGGGCGCCTGAGCCCGGGCCCTCCTCCCCGCCTCCCCGCCTCCCCGCCTCGGCCCTGCCAAGCGAAGCGGGAACCGGGGCCCCACGGCCGCGGCCCCTGCTGCCCCCGGTGCCCCCGGTGCCCCGACGAGGCCGGCGCCGGCCTGCGCGGGTGCGCGTGCACCTGCCGCGGGTGGGGCCTGCAGCGCGGCGCCCGTTACCCTTTCAGCGGGTCGGCGGGTCTCGGCCCCCGCCAGCGCCTGGGAGCCCGCCCGCCTCGCTGACGACGCTGCCGCTACGCCAACATTCCTAAACAGGCCCCAAAAGTGAGATTGTCTCGCGACACAGATCTAGAAGTGAAGTCCGGAGCCCCCAGCATCTGCTGTTGCCGTGGCCCCCGTGTGCGAGTGCAGGGGTTCTGCAAACGACCCAAGCTCGTCCCTTTCAGTTCCATTAAAAACCAACAACAAGGGATCCCTGGGTGGCGCAGCGGTTTGGCGCCTGCCTTTGGCCCGGGGCGCGATCCTGGAGACCCGGGATCGAATCCCACGTCAGGCTCCCGGTGCATGGAGCCTGCTTCTCCGTCTGCCTGTGTCTCCGCCTCTCTCTCTCTCTCTCTCTCTCTCTCTCTCTCTCTCTCTCTGTGACTATCATAAATAAATAAAAAAAAATTTAAAAAAAAAAAAAAAAGACCAACAACAATGTAGGGCGCCAGGGTGGCTCGGCCTGTTACGCGTCCCTCCGGCTCTCCATTTCGGATCAGGTGGCGGCATCAGGGTTGCGGGATCGAGCCCCGCGCGGGGCTCTGTGCTCTGTGCTCTGTGCTCTGTGCTCAGGGCGGAGGCGGCTTGGGATTCCTGCCTCCCAGCCCGGGCGCACGCGTGGGCATGCGTGCACTCTGTCTCTCGATAAATGAGATCAAAAAACCAAAACACAATGTCCTCCTTTTTCTTAGAACCGTCCTACGATCTACTACATATGCCTCCTCACATTCCGAAACAGGACTCGGAATGACTCCAGCTCATCCTCAGGAACGCCGTGTGGCCTGCCGGTCACTCCGGGGCTGCGTGTCCTCCAAGGACGCGTCACTACACTGCTCTGCGGTGTCCCTCCTTGAGCCTGGCTTTCATTGTGGCCTCAGCCCTGTTTGCCACCAAGCTCTTGTCACCATTTGCGGGTGTCAAAACTAACTGCTGCTTTCTTCTTCTTCTTCTTCTTCTTCTTCTTCTTCTTCTTCTTCTTCTTCTTCTTTCTTCTTCTTCTTTCTTCTTCTTCTTCTTCTTTCTTCTTCTTCTTCTTCTTTCTTCTTCTTCTTCTTCTTCTTCTTCTTCTTCTTCTTCTTTCTTCTTCTTCTTTCTTCTTCTTCTTCTTCTTTCTTCTTCTTCTTCTTCTTCTTCTTCTTCTTCTTCTTCTTCTTCTTCTTCTTCTTCTTCTTCTTCTTCTCTTCTTCTTCTTCCTTCTTCTTCTTCTTCTTCTTCTTCTTTCTTCTTTCTTCTTCTTTCTTTCTTCTTCTTCTTCTTCTTCTTCTTCTTCTTCTTCTTCTTCTCTCTTCTTCTTCTTCTTCTTCTTCTTTCTTCTTCTTCTTTCTTCTTCTTCTTCTTTCTTCTTCTTCTTCTTTCTTCTTCTTCTTCTTCTTCTTCTTCTTCTTCTCTTCTTCTTCCTTCTTCTTCTTCTTCTTCTTCTTCTTCTTCTTCTTCTTCTTCTTTCTTCTTCTTCTTTCTTCTTCTTCTTCTTCTTCTTCTTCTTCTTCTTCTTCTTCTTCTCTCTTCTTCTTCTTCTTCTTCTTCTTCTTTCTTCTTCTTCTTCTTCTTCTTCTTCTTCTTCTTCTTCTTCTTCTTCTTCTTCTCTTCTTCTTCTTCTTCTTCTTCCTCCTTCTTCTTCTTCTTCTTCTTCTTTCTTCTTTCTTCTTCTTCTTTCTTCTTCTTCTTCTTCTTCTTCTTCTTCTTCTTCTTCTTCTTCTTCTTCTTTTCTTCTTCTTCTTCTTCTTCTTTTAAAAAGATTTTGTTTTACTTTTAGGTACTGTCCACGCCCAGTGTGGGGCTCGAGCTCACAACCCCGAGAGCAAGAGTTAATTAACATGCTCCACCGGCTGGGTCAGCCAGGCAGGCGCCCCAGAGCTAACTGCTCCTGGTCCAGAGAGCGGCGGCGGGTGGTTGTCTTTGGGGAGAGGGGGTTACGAAAGGAACCTTTCCTCATGTTTCCCAATGTTCCTGTGGTGAGCGTATTTAATTTTCCCAATAAGGAATAAAAAGGACTCGGCAAGCAGCTGCTCCTGCCCCCTGGGCCTGCCCCTAGGCTGCACCAGGACTCCTATAGGAGTTTAGGTTGTCTGTCGCCCTAGTAGCCTGTGACCCCAGGACCTGTGCCGCGCTGGCACTCAGTAGTGCTCAGTACGTGTTTGCTGATGGGCCCAGGGATGGCAGCCCTCCAGAGCCAGCAGGCTGTCCTAGGCTGCCCTTGAGGCCACTGGGCCCCACGGATAAGCGTCCAGCCACTTGCCACCATCAGCCTAGGCAAGCTCATTCTGAGGCCACCCGCCCTCGGGTCATTTGGGGACCTGGCACCCAACCTAGGCTGCCTCACCTGCTTCCGCGGGGCTGGAGTGTCCGGCAGCGCTGGGAGGCACCCCTTGTTGGCTATCCCTGGGTCCCCCGCAAGGGCCTCCTGGGTCTCTGCCTGCGGCTCCAAGCACAGGGCCCTGTGGGTCCACAGGAGGCGTCTGGACCCAGCCTGGGGGAACTGGGTGACAGCGGCTCGCTGGACACGGCCCTTCGCTGCCGCCTGGGCCCAGGCCCCCAGGGCCCTGGGAGGAGGGAGGGAGGAGGAGCCCGCGTCTGTGCTGGGCTCTCAGGAGCCCTGCCCGGCCACCCCTGTGCTCCTGCCCTCATCCCTCCTCTGGGGAATCTGGTGAGAACAGGCCCAGGAGCAGCAGCACGTCACGCTGGGGGGACAAGCTGAGGGGACAGACGGTGCGCGGTCCTGCTGCCATACTTGGCCTTGCCCTCCTCCCTCGCCAGGACAGTTTACGGCGCATCTGCCGTGTGTCTGACCCCCGAGCTGAGTGCTCGCGGGCCTCATGTCTGTAAGGCAGGCCTCTCATCGTCCTCTGGCCTCTAGAGACTTGCTCAGAGAGGAGTCGCACTGCTGGAAAGTGCAGGTCTGGAATGTGGCCCTGGGACCAGCGGCAGGGCCTGGGATCGCGCCCCTCTGACCCCAGCCTCCAGAGCCCCAGCACCAGCCAGCGAGAGCCCAAGGCCTCAGAAGCAGCCTCAGCTGGAGGCACAGTGGGGCTGCCCTCGGGCCACGGGCACCCACCTGGTACTCAGCTTCCAGGCGGCCTGGGCTCGGCTGCCCCGGTGCAGGCGGGACCCCTGCGCCCTCGGTGCCCAGGACAGGGCGGCTCTCTCTTCCTCCACCTGGTGGACCCTGCAGCGCTGGCCCAGAGCTGCGCGCCACACCGCAAAGGCCTGCTGGGCCCGGGCCCTCCGGAGCTGTCTGTCTGCCCGGTGCTCCTGCACGCGCTTCCTCCAGCGGCCCACGGAGGCCCAGGCCACACGCCGCTCCCGTGCCCAGGCTTCGGCTGCTCGGGCACCCTGCCACACAGCCCATGCTGCCCCGCGGGCCTCTCCCGGGCCACCCTGAAAGGCTCCCGTGGCTGGGAGCGCCCCTGCGTCTCTCACAACTGCACGCCAGGCCGGGGAGTGGCTGCAAAACAGGGACAGAGGAGGGGCCCAGCTGGCCTCAGATGCAAAAGTCACATTTCTTCAAAATTGCACCCGCAAATCCCCTGCAGAGTACCATAGGTTCTACGTGGCTTGGCACACACGCCCCCCTGAAGAAGGTATGACCCGCATGGAGAACGCCCCAGCCGGTGTGTATCCGGTCCAGGTGCTGGCTCTGCGGGTCTCGGCAGGGGCGGCCGGCCTGGTCTCCCCTTGCAAGCCCAGTCTGGGGCAGGAGGTCGGCCCAGGAGTCGGAGGCGCAGGGCTCCCCGGGGCACCAGGTGGGGTTGAAGGATTGCCACCCCCACCACTCCAACGAAGCAGGTCATGGAAGGTCGGCGGTCATGGCCCTGGGGCTCCGTCCTGAGGTCCCCTGGGCTCTCTCTCTGCTTTTTCCAGAGTGAGGATGACCCTCACCCTCCTACCCCCAGGCCCACCCACCTGTGCAGTAGAAGCTGCTCCGGCAGGGCCCCTGGGCGCCTCCGACGAGCTGCTGCCCGCCGCCAGCGCTGGAACACCGACCTCCTCAAGCCCTGGCGGTGGACCTGCACCCACCTCTGGTACTTTGCATGCAGGAACTGCTGCCCTGTCGCCAGAGAGATGCTGAGATGCCCCCCAGGCATTCATCCCAGCCTCGCCGCTTGGCCCGGGGTAACTGGGGGCCCCTCCTCGGCCACAAGTAGGGGACAGACGAGGCCCCCCAACCATCTGGGTTTAATCGCTTTGGTTACAAGTGTCCTGTGATGACCGGGCCAACCCAGCTCATTGTTTTTAATTTCTTGGAAATGTTTACGAATCAGGAGAATTTGTGCAAAAATCTAGATTTCCAGCTTTTTTTTTGAAAACTAGGTCTGACAACACTGGGTCAGCTTCACTGGGCAGTAATTGGGCTGGAGAAGCAGCTGTCCCCAGAGGACGAGGATAGGAACTTTCCAGAACAACGAGGTCCTCGCCTGCCAGCTCACTGATCCGATGTGTTGGTGTTGTGGGAAGCCTCTAACACGGCCCCCAGCGATTCCCCACCTCCCACGCGGGGCTTTGAGGGCACCATAACTCAGAGCTCGGGCTTGGGCCCAGGGCTCCTGAAGGCCAGGTGAGGGTGAGGATGAGGATGAAGATGATGCTGGTGACAGGCACACGCACTAGGAGCTGGGCTGTGAGCCAAGATGGTGGCATGGATGGTGGCATGGACACCCTACAATCACCCTATGAGGCGCGTGCAGCATGATCCCCATTTTAGAGACGAGTCAGCTGAGCCTCAGGGAGGTTCTGTAGCCTGCGTAAGGTCCTCACGGCCGGGACCGCACGGGCGGTGTCCCGCCCCAGTTCTGCTCCATCCCGCCCCATCCTGGCGCACCCTGCCCCTGCAGAGGTCCCACCCCCGGGCTCTGTGCCAGGGGACACAGGTACCCCCCCCCCCCCCCCGCTCACTCTGCCAGCAGGTGCGCCAGCGCTGCAGGGCGCCTCGAGCCAGCGCGCGACCCCGAGCCCGGACCCGCTGCTCCACCTCCAGCCGCTGCGCCAGCCGCCGCCGCCACCAGCGCAGCGCAGCCCGGCCGCACCGGCCCCGGGCCCAGCCGACGGCCAGCTGTCTCTGGGCCCCTTGGGCTGAGGCCCAGCGGCTCCAGCCGACCAGGACGCTAGGAAGGGGAGCGCCCACCTGAGGAGGCTCGGCCACCCTGGGCCCACACCCCCCCCCGCCCCCCCGGGAGCTCTAGCCCGTGAGGGGCAAAGCTGGGGGTAAGCGAGGCACGGGGGGGGGGGTGAGTCAGCGGCCCCCAGGAGGAGCTCTCACCCCGGAGCCCCTCGACCCCACAGGGCAGGCCGGGGGGCAAGAGGTGTCGGAGACCTGAGTCTGGGTACCAACGGCCTGGGGGGTGACGTGGGGGCCCTGCAGGGTGCAGACCCGAACAGAGTCTGCTGTGAAGGTCAGGGTGGGCGGGAAGGGGGCTGGGAGGCAGGGTGACCGCGGCGCGGCTCGCCCACGCGGGGAGGGTCCCTACCGCCTCTGGAGAGCGCGCCGGCACCACCTGGCCGCACCCCGGGACTGCCTGGCGCGCACCTGCCAGAGCCGAAGGCACCGCCCCTTCCGCCGCTGCCCAGATGCCCACCGAAAGCTCAGCCCGAGCGTCTCCAAGGGGGCGGGCGCCCTCAAGGCCTGGGAAGAGGGATGGAGTCCTGCACCCCCGGCCCTGCGCTGCCCCACCACGGCCCCCCGCCTGCCCCTACCGCCCCCGCCCATCCCCCGCCTGCCCCTCACCCGCTGCGGCGAGCTTCGCGGTGGGCGGCCGCCCAGCCGGGGCTCCCCTCCCGGGAGGCTGCCCAGGAGCTCCGGGGCCGAGGCGCTCAGACCCCGCGCCGTCAGGTGCCCCCTGCTCAGGATGTGTTGAAGCTGCCGCAAGGCCCGGTCGGAGATGCTGGGGAAGGAGCAGGGGCGTCCTGCGGCCCAGCCTCACCCTCAGCAGATGGGCTGCCACGGGGGCCCCCAGCCGGGCCTCTGCCAGCGCGCTGCTCTGGAAGGGCCAGCTCCCCCACACCGTGTTGGCCGCACACGGGACGGCTGGTGGCCGAGATGCACCCGTGCCCCTTGGGGTCCCCCCCACTCGAGCTTAACCTGGGCCTCCTCACTTTTCCAGAGCTCCCGCAGGGACTCCCACCAGTGCCTGCCTCACCTGGGCGATCGGAGCCAGGCTCCCGAGGGGAGGTGGAGCTGAGCCCCAGGCCCGAGGACCCCAGACTCAGGGGGAAGCCACGTCGGTGCTCTGCCTCTGCTCGGGTGTAAAGATGGGGAAACAGGCCTGCGGGAGGTCAGTTCCCCAAATGGCAAACAGCGGAAGACGTGGGACCCAAGTACGTCGTTGAGGTCGCAGGGCAGCCCCAGCTGTGTCCTGGGTGGACGGGGACGGTTCCCCGAGGCCGGGGCGGGAGCACACACTGAGGAGGGAGAGCTACATTCCCAGGGATCACGTGAGCTCACCGACCCTCCCGGGAGTTCTGGGGCTTTCATCAAAACAGACGAGGGTCCAAGTGGACCAAGGGGGTGTGGCATGATGGATGCTAGGTATGTGGCTTCCTTTTTAAATTTCTTTAAAAAGATTTTATTTTGGGCAGCCCGGGTGGCTCAGCGGTTTAGCGCCGCCTTCGGCTCAGGGCGTGACCCTGGGGTCCCGGGATCGAGTCCCACATCGAGCTCCATGCATGGAGCCTGCTTCTCCCTCTGCCTGTGTTTCTGCCTCTCTCTCTCTGTCTGTCTCTCTCATGCATAAGTAAATAAAATCTTTTAAAAATAAAAGATTTTACTTTATTTATTTTATTATTTTATTTTATTTTACTTTATTTTATTATTTTATTGTTTTGAGAGTGAGAGACAGAGCACAAGGGTGGGAGGGGCAGGGGGAGAGGGAGAAGCAGGCTCCTCCCTGAGCAGGGAGCCCGATGCGGGGCCCCAGGGCTGTGGGCAGGTGACCTGAGCTGAGGGCGGACGCTTAAACCACTGAGCCCCCAGATGCCCTGGTGGGTGACTTTTCCCGAGGGAATTATTGGCCTTTACCTGCTGGCGAACGTTCCACTTGTGTCCCATCAGCGCAGCGGCTCCCTGCACCCCTGCCCCCCGCCCCCCTCACCCACAGCCACCTGGACTCTGACCCCAGCACGACTGTCTGTGGAAAAGCACCGGGACCTTCTTGCCCCGATTCGCAGTGTGATTTGGAGTGAGCTGCTCCACCCTGAGCCTCAGTCGGCCTGGCTGCGCGGTGAGGCCGCCGGGGCGTCTACACTCGCCTGCAGGGTCTATGCTGAGCCGCTAACTTGCAGATATTTGCTGGGCACTGGGCGGTGGCGGGAGGCACACAGGCTTCCCACGCGGCCAGGTTCCCGCACCCGGTAGAGGCCCGTGCGTGTGGCCCCGGTGGCCCTCTGCTCCATCGCATCCCAGGCCCCGGGCCACCTCCCCCGGCCCCGCACCTGCCGGGCACCACAGCCCACGCAGGAGCCACCAGGGAGGGCGGGACCTGGCCCGTTCCCGGAGGGACGCTCTTCCCAGCGCTGAGCTCTGCCCACGGCCCGCCCCGTACGCACCCCGGGTCCCAGGCTCGTGGACACCTACTCAGGCCTCCGGCGCTGGGACAGCCGCGTCCTCCAGAGCAGCAGTGCCCGCTGGAGGGCCAGTCTCTGGCAGGCTTCCTGCAGGGAGCCCCGGCCCTGCTCCTGGGCTGGCACCTGGACCTGAGCCACCACTCCCAGGCCATGGGCTGCGGCCACCCCAGGGGCTGCGCCGCAGAGAGTCGCGCTCCCTGAGAAGCAGTCAGAGGGTGAACCAGCCAGGTCCCCAGTGATCCCGCCTCACCCCCCTTAGGATCCCGCTCCCAGGCACTGCCCCCCCCACTGCCTCCGAACCCTCCCCTCCAAGACACCTCAAAGTTTCCACCTTCCCCTGTCGGATCTGGGGGACAAGGGATGCGCATTATCCCTCCACCCCAACCAAGAGCTTCCAGAGAGCAGAGGCCACCCCCCTCCTGCCGGGGGGACGGGACGGAAGGAAGTCTCTGGCCTAGAGAAGCCCATGACTGGGAGTGAGGAGGCGGCCCTGCAAGTCTGCCACTCCCAGGGCACCTCCTGGACCCTTCGGGCCGACACACCGCACCCCCGAGTGCTCCAGGTTCCATCTCATCACAAGAATTCAAACCATCCCAGAGGGAGCTTTGGTGACACTGCTGGCAGGGGTGGGAGGGGAAGGGAGCTCCTCGGTGTGCCACCTGCCTGGCTCGCTCACCTGCCTTCTGCTGGCAGAGGGACAGCTGGGTCACCTTGGCTCCATCGGAGGCCCGGAGCCGCCTCATCCGTAGCCACTGCTGCAGACACAGCCTGAGGGTGTGTGCCTGGCGGTGGGCCAGCCGCTCCCGGAACCCGGCCCCTCGTTGCGCGAACCGCTGCCAGGCCCCAAAGCACCTGGGGAGCCGGGGAGGTGCTGGTACTAGTAATGACGGCAGCGACAGCCACCTGCCCCGTGCTGCCGCGGAGGCCTTGGACAAGCGACTTGGCCCTCTGAACCTGTTTGTCATACGTAAATGGGGCAGCTGTCGGGACAGCGTGGGTGCCCCCGGGCCTAGATGCCCGTGTCCACCCTGGCCCCACACTGATGTTTCTCAAATCCCAGGTGCGGGCGCTCACGGCCCTGCTGAGAACCCCCAGCGGCCGCCTCCTTGCTGGGGACAGAACGTCGCCTCCTCTGCACCCGGACTGCGGGGGGCGTCCTCCGGGCTCCCCGAGCTCCCGCGTCACAGGCGTCGTGGGCCCAAGCAGTCACCCTTGGGTCTCGGCGGAGCCCTCAGCGGCTCGGCGTCCTCCGCCCGGAGTCCTCCCCGGAAACCGCCGGGGTGCCGTCAGCGGGACGCAGGCCCCGGGGGATCCTACGGGACCAGCAACCCGGTTTCCTCCCCTGACAGGCGGCAAAGACCAGAACCGGAGGGGACCCCGCAGCTCAGACAGACCGTGGCGACTCGTCCGCCGCCGTTAGCGGGGGAACCACGTCTGGATCCGGTTCACACGAACTACAGCGGGATGTGCGCGCGGGAGCAGCTGCACACCCGGGCCGGCCACAGATTTCTCGGTGTTCGGGGACGAACGTTCTCTCTGGGGCGTGACCATGGCTCCCTGTGCCTTGCGGGGAGTCCCTACCTACACAGACGCTCTAGAAGTATCTACAGGCGCAGCGGTACGAAGGGGGCCCTGCTTCAGACAACGTAGGCGGAAGCAGGTGGGGTACATGAAACAAGCTTTTCAGGAGGTGATTGTCTTTACTTTTTTTTTCTCTTTTTAAGATTTTTTTAAAGGGTTTTTTTTTTTAAGATTTCATTTATTTATTCATTAGACAGAGAGAGAGAGAAAGAGAGAGAGGCAGAGACACAGGAGGGAGAAGCAGGCTCCATGCAGGGAGCCCGAGGTGGGACTCGATCCCGGGTCTCCAGGGTCACGCCCTGGGCCAAAGGCAGGCGCTCAACCCCTGAGCCACCCGGGCTGCCCTCTTTTTAAGATTTTTTAAATTCATTTTAGGAGAGAGAGAGAGAGAGAGAAAGAGAGAGCATGAGAGGGAGGGGCTCAGGGCAAAGGAGAGACTCTCAAGCAGACAGAGTAAGGAGCCTGAGTCAGGGCTCGATCCCGCAGGCCCTGGGGTCACTCCCCAAGGATGCTGAGGTCACTCCCCGAGGACCCTGAGGTCACTCCCCACGAACCTTGGGGTCACTCCCCACGGGCCCTGAGGTCACTACCTGAGTTGGAACCAAGAGTCAGATGCTTAACCGACTGTGCCACCCAGGTGTTCCCAGGAGGTGACTTTACTGCAGCTCGGTAATGGGGACACGGGGGTCAGCATCTATTCTCTCTACTTTTGTGTAAGATATAAATGTCTCATCATAAAACAACACAGGAAGAGCCGTCTTACAGGTCTGAGCTCTCTCCCTTCCCAACACGTGACTCGGGCGGTACTGGCCCGCACCCTGTGTGACCGCCACGCTTCCGGGAGGGGGGCGGGAGGCACCCAGCTTTGCTTGGGACCAAACCCCAGGCTCTGGGTGGCGTCTTGGGCTCTCAGTAAACAGCAGGTGTTTCCATTTCTTATTTTTATCATCGTTTCTTTCTAAAAAATGTATTTTTTATTTAAATTCAGTTTGCCAGCCTATGTATGACACCAGTGCTCAGCCCGTCACGTGCCCTCCTCGTGCCTGTTACCCAGTAACCCCCCCCCCGTCCTCCTCCCCTTCTGTAACCCTGTTTCTCAGACTCAGGAGCCTCTCGTGGTTGGTCTTTATCATCCTTTCTTGACACCAGGAGTCCAGAGCTGCCTCAAAGGGTTGCTCCAGCTGCACCTCGCCCCCTGCCTCAAGGAAGGGTCCCCAGTCTCACGTTCTCCACGTCTCCCTACCTGCCGAGCCAGGCTCTCCGCGGCTGAGTGTCCGGCAAGGCCGCCCTGGGTGCGTCTACAGCATGAGAGCGCCAGGCTTCGGGGGGTCTCCCCATCCCCTGAGTCCTCAGTGGGACCCGGGGGTTCTCTCTCTGGGCCCCCCTGTCCTGCCTGGCCCATTTCTTCTGGTGGCACCACAAGAGGAAGACTGTAGCGCGAGGAGAGAGAGCGAGAAGAGAGAGTAGGGAGGCCCAGGACAGGAGGAGGCTATGTCACTCCCTGTCTCTGGGCCTCAGTTTCCCCGTGAGTGAGTGATGTCTGAGAGACCTTCTGGTTCACTCAAGCTTCCGCTGGGGCTGTACTACCCTCAGCGGCACACTGAGGCAGGACGTGCGCCCATCCCGTGTGCCCTCGAGCCAGTCACTTCTCTGTGCCTCCCCTCCCCGTCCGTGAACGGGCACAAAGCCCTGCCCAGGTCCCACGAGGCTCAAATGAGATCGTGTCTGGGAAGCGGACCGAGTAGATGCTCAGGGAACACCCACTTGGGAGCCCGTGCCCTGCCCTGTGTGGGTGCTCGGGTCCCCACCCCGCACCCCACGCTTCCGGGGCCCACGGCTCACCGGCCAGCTGTCCTAAGGCCTGCAGCATCTGCGCTCCCCCATCGCCTCCATCTGGTCCCGGCCAGGCTGCCGCCTCCTCCCTCTGACTCCCTGGACCGTGAGGGAAGTTGCCCGGAGAGAAACCGATGCCGCCGCGGGCCGGGCTGAGGGACAGCGCACAGTCCCAACCTGGCCACCCGGCGCCGGACAGGTGCAGAGGTGCCCTGAGCCGCCGCTCCCCTCCCCGTTCTCCCCCAGACGCTCCGTCTCCTCCCTGATTATCTGAGTGACAGAGGGGGGGTCGCGGGCCTGCTCTTGCTTCATTCTCTTCCAACGCCGTTTGGACTCTTACAGCAAACACGTACAGACCATTGGTATTTGAATGATCGTCTTAGATACGTGGGTCTCGATTTACAAATAAGAACAAACACCACACTTTGCCGTAGTGGAAGACCGAGCAAATGGAGGGGGGAAGAGTCACCTTGAATTTCACTGCCCCAGAGATGTGCACTATCTGCTTATTTCAGCATGGGTGTTTTTTTTTTTTTTTGATGAAATGCTTATTTATTTTCCTTTTGAACACTGGTAAAAATACAGAAAACATAAAACTTACTGTCTGAACCACCTCTATGTGAGCGGGTCAGTAGTGCTAAGTAATGGTGCCACATTGCACCATTTTTCCTTCTGTACCGTTTCATGTGCGTGAAAAATATCTTAGACACCATTTTTTTAGTTCCTCTCCCCCCATTTGACATGGCATATAACCATTTCTTCTCGTCACTAAAAATTCCATGCAAAAAATAAAAATAAAAATAAAAAATAAATAAAAATTCCATGCAAATACCCATGAAACTCTTCTAGGAGGAGGGATACCTGGGGAGGGGGGGTGAACCTTCCAGCTATTTGGAGTATTTTTTTCAAGTCAAGCACACATTACTGTTATAATTAGAAATAGCGCCCAAAAGTTACTGAAATAAAAAAATTTAAAAAAAAAAGAATGGGGAGGAATGTTAAAATCTTGATGAACATCGTATCGAACGGTTGCCAAATGCTCGTCACGCTGTTAAACCATAATTTTCTCACTCGCCCCATGGGCAGAAAGCGGGGGGCGGCGGGGCGGCCCACCAGCACTGCCCAGGCCACACTGACCAACGGACCGCTGCGGGGACCCGGACTACCTGCTGCTCCTGGCGGGGTCCACCTCGGGCCCCCTTCCTGAGGGGTCTTGGCCTCCTCTTGGCCCAGGGCGTGGGGGTCCCGGCCCAGCCTGGACGGGGGGCTGCCCCTGCTTCTGCTGCAGAGTCCAGTTTCTCCACTGGGGAGGAGGGGGAAAGAAGGCTGTCAGCTGAAGCTCCAAACGTGCCCCCAAGAGGGGACAGGACAGGGACGCCCTACTCCGAAGCCTTGGGTCTTACCCGGATGCTTTGGGAATAAATGAATGAATGGCGAGACGGAGCCCGCGGTGCAGTGCCTTCCTCGGGAGGCAAAACCCGGGGCTGCGCCCCCCGGAGCCCCCCTTTCCTCAGGACAGAAGAACACAGATGTGTCCTGCCAGTCCCGGGGGGGCCGACCGCTCGTAGGAGGTCGCGAGCACTCACGCTAGAGCGCTTGCTGTGTGCTGAGCACGGCTCCAGGTCCTTTATGCTTATTAATCGAACCTCACAGCAACCCAGAGGTATGTACTCTTAGTATTATCCCATTTTGGAGCCAAGGAAACTAAGGCGCAGAGAGGTTAAGCAACCTGCCCAAAGCCACACAGTGAGAAGTTGTGGAAAAAAGAAAGTAGTGGAGGCAGGATTTGAACTCAGGCAGAGCTGGTTCAGGTGTGCGGGTGGCCCTGGACCACTCGGGAGGTAGATGACAGGTGCCCCGGGAACCTCCTCCCCAGACGTACCAGCCTTTCATCGCCTCCCCACGCCCCAACCTGGAGGCCGCTGACCTTTCGGAAGCTCTGGGCCAGCAGGGCCCGAGTGTGTCGCCCCCACGCCGCCTCCAGCTGGGCCTCCCGGAGCCGCAGGGCCCCCCGAAGCGCCCACAGGCCTCTGTGCAACAGCTGCCGCCGGCCCCCCGCCACCACGGCAGCCGCTGCCCGCCGCCTCTGCACCCAGCGCCACCAGGCTCTGAAACATGGGGACAGCCACGGCAGGCTGGGACCAGACCGGGGCTGATCAGGGCTGGCCTGGCCCACGGCCCCAGGAAGCAGCTGGGGGCTGGGCACCCCCCGCGGCACTGTCCACGCCGGTGGGTGGGTGAGGCCTCCTGCTGCAGCAGGCCCGGGAAGCCCCACGGGGAAGCTCCCGCCGCGCGCAGTGCCCCAACGGCCAAGTGCCGAGCCTCAGAAGCTTCGGATCCCAGCAGCGACAGCAGCCCCCACCCCCCGTCCCTGTCCTTGGGCCCTGGGGTCCCCGCATGCCCCAGCAGGGACAGTGTGACCCTCCCACCCTGAGTCCTGCATGGGTCTGCCTCCAGGGCCTGACCTCAGGTGGGACCATCACTGGCCCAGGAGTGTGGCCACCCCCCGTGCCTCCACAGCCCACGGCCTCACCCGGCTGTCTCGGACTCCAGGCTCGCGATGTTTCGGGCTTTTTCCTTGGAAAGCAAAAGGACAGGACAGAGTTCTCAGGCTGAGAGCAAGCAGGACAGGACACCCTCTGCCAAGCCTGCCTGCCCAAGGTCTCCCTTTCTGGGGGGAGGAGCCAGCTGGCAATGAGAATCCCAGGGTCCCCCGGCCCCCACGCCCAGCCTCCTCTGGCCCCTACCTGCAGGCCGCTCCCTGCTGGGGCTGCGTCTGGGGACCAGGAGGCCGTCCTCTCCTCCTCCCTGCTGCTCTGCTCCTGCGGGGCCACCTCCCCGCCTCCCCGCCCAGGTGGGACGCCCCGGGCAGCACTGGACCGGGCCCATGAGCAGGGTCTGGCCTCCCTGCTGCCCGCCCCTGGAGGGAGCTGGGGGTCTCCCCTCTGCCAGCTGCCACGTGGAGGCCCCGGGGAGCTCTCTTCTTGCCTCGGGGGGGTGGCCGGAAGGACGCCGTCCTTAGGGGCAAGGCAATCCCCAGCCAGGGTCCCCAGCGTGGCCTCCAGTGACGACGCAGGCCGCCTGCTTGCCTGAGAGCCTGCGGGGCCAGCCTGGCTCCCTCGAGTCTCTGGGCAATCTGTGCTTCCCCCGAGGCGGCCCGGGTGCTCCTTCCTCCCACCCCAGGGAGCAAGACCAGGTCGGCCGGGCTGGCGGGGGTCGGCGAGAGCCTGGCCCGAGCTGCTCCAGGGGGCCCGCTGAGCAGGGCCCGGGGCTTCCTGGGACAGTCGGCGCCCGAGACGAGCTACCGCTCGCTCCAGGTGTTGCACGGAGGTCAGCAGCTGGTGCACGGCGGTGTGGGACGGGGCCTGAGCCTGGCCGTGGACAGGGACAGTCAGGTCCTCCAGGGTGAGCGGCTCCCCCGCGAGCCGAGAGGGCCCGCTCCACAGGCCACCCCAGGGCCCGGAGTCCGGCCGTGCGCGCCCGTTGAAAGGGGCTGAGCCTGCCGCAGGCGGGACGCCTGGGCAGGGGGCGTCTGTGGCCAGCAGCCGGGGCGGCCTCAGGGTGGAGGACGGGCAGGCCAGCGAGCCTGGGGGCCGAGGGCTCCCCTGAGCTGCCCCCCGGGGCCCAACGCTCCCCTGAAGCTCTGGCGGGGGGCGGGGGCTGCAGCGCCTTCCCCCAGCCAGGCCGGCGCCCCTCGCGCTCAGGTTGCTCTGCTGGACGGCAGGGTCTCGGGCTCTCCCCTGGGGCCTGGCGGGGGGCGGCAGGTTGCTCTGCTGCTGTGGGCTGGAGTTCATGAGCCGGTCCGCGCCGTCCGTCAGGACGAGGCTGGGCGCAGCCAGGTTGCTCTGCACCCGGCCGGGCTCCCGGAGCAGCACCGCCCCCGGGGAGGGCAAGGGGAACCTCTGTGCCCCGCATGTGGGCGCCCCCCGGCCGGGTCCCCTGCCTGGGCCGGCGTCTAGGCTCTTCGGCCATCGCTGCTGTTCTGAAAGGAGGAGAGACCGTCAGGTCCCGGGGGAGGACAGGTGGCCAGGGCTTGGGCGGCTTGGGGGCCCCAGGTGGGAGCGGGCCAGGGCTCCCCCCGCAGACGGAGGGGCGGTGTGAGTCGGGGCCTGGCCACGGGGTGTGGGCACAGAGAGGGCACAAGGAAGCGGGGGGACAGTAACGAGGCTGTTAGGGCATCCCGTCCCGGGTGAGAGGCAACAGGGCTGGTATCGGGGGTGGCGGTGACGGGGGAGAGAAGGACTCAGATTGGAATATGCCCCGAGACTCAGAAGGGGCGGTGGGGGGGGAGCCAATGGGGCCCGATTTCTGGCCCGGTCAGAGGTGACAGGGACAGCGCCTGGGGTGAGACCCCCCCCCCCCCCCCCGCAACCAAGAGCCGCAAGGGAGTGGTCTGGGGCCTTGGGGTGGGGCTCAGGCTCCCCGCCCCCCCCAAGGCCGTCCCACAGCAGAGACGAGGCTCCCTGGGGCCGGGCAAGTGCTTGGGAGGACCCCGCACCCAGAGTGGGCCACAATTGCACCTTCACGGACACCAACCAACGCCCAGAGAGGTCTGGCCACTTGCCCCACGGTCACACAGCTAGAACCTGGAGAACTCGGCCCGAGGATCAGGATCTGCCCGATTTTGTGTGGGGGCCGCTTCCCCCGCGGCTGTGCCAGCTCTGGGCCTGGCACAGACCGCCCCGGGGCTCCCTTCTCAGCCGGGGCCCCCGCCAGGCCCAGTGCTGCTGCCCTCCGCGGGGAAGGCCCTGTCCAGTCAGTCCCCGGGACTCGGGAGGCCGGGCTGGGCTGATGGGCAAGGAGCCCCGGGCCCACGGCTGCCCAGCTGCCCCGCGCCCCCACCCGGACCCACCTGACCTGCCCAGCCCCGGGGGCGTCGCGGGCCCGAGCAGCACACGGTCCTTGCGGCTGCCATCGCGTCTCAGCTCCGCGGGCTCCAGGGCGAGGCCAAGGCCACAGCGTCCGTGGTCCACGTGGCCCGCGGTCCGGCCGGTTTGATGGGATGGGTCCTGTAGGGCGAGGACGGCAGGCTCACTCCCACCTGCCTCGCCCCTGCCCCGGGCCCCCCGCACTCTCCCCCTGCACCCAGCCGCCCTGAGGCCCGACCCCCGTGGTCCTGCTCAGGCCCCACACCACCCCCTTTCCCTTGTACGTGACTCGTGTCCTCCGGCCCCGCTCCTTCCAACGCCGACCACAGCCCCCCAGTGGGCCCTGCTCTCGGGGCAGCCCTCTCAGGTCGGGGCCTCCCAGACTGCTGGGGCCCTCTGCTGCCTGCCGCCGCTTCCCGCCTTCTCCCCGCTCCAGGGGGGAGCACTCCGCCGAAGCTCCAGGCAGGCCCTGAAACCAGCCCAGGGCCTGTCCCCTCGTTCCTTGAAGGCTTCAGCCCTGGCTCACTGTTGCAGTCTCCGACACACACCTCCGTCTGGCGCTCTCACCGTCCACATGGCTACGCCTCTCACTCCTGGCCTTCGGAGTCCTCCTTGTCCTCCCCTCCCACCACCCTGCCCTTCGTCCTGCCTCAACCACCTGCTGCCATGGTGCCCCAGGCCCTGCCGTCCTAAATAACTGCACCCACCCCATAATTTCAGTTCCGGGGCCCGCTCCCATCCTCTGGCGCTCAACGCGGTGCTCTTTGCCCCATCAGACCCCCCCTCGGGTCCTGCCACCCTCTGACTGCCCCTCACCGCTGCTGGCTCACCCTCCTCCCACAGTTTAACCGTCGGGCTGGCGTGTAAGCGCCCCGGCCCTGTCCCCGCACCCTGCTCTCTCTGCACACAGCTGATGAGTGGTTTTCACCCTCCTGCTGCACCCACCGACGACCTCGCTCCAAGTGACCACCTTCGATCCCAAGAGGGCGCACAGGCTGCTGGAGAATCAGACTCTACTCCCTTTCCCCTCCCTCGTAGAGGCCAGGTCACACTTCCTGGCCTGTCCTCAAACCCAGGCCACCCTTTCTCCCCTCCCCACCCCCCTCCAGCAGACTCACAAAATAGGGCAAAATCAGAAGAGAAAGGCATTCGTTATGGGCCAGCTTCCAGGCGGAGCCTCCTGGCCCCTCCCCCGTCCTGTGGTCCCATTCCCAGCCTGACCACCCCCCTGCACTCTGGGCGCCATCAGGGCCACCACGGTCTCCGAGGGGTCCTTCTGTGAGTCAGGAAAGGCACCTCTGACCCCATGGCCCCACCGCAGACTTAGGCCTGAACCGGGGTGCAGAGCCGGGGGTGGGACACATGCTCCGACGTCCTTGCTCCAGAAACCACCCCTCCCCCCATCAAAACTTCCCTCTTCTTTACTGAATCATTCCCATGAGCACTTAAGTAGGTGGTTGTTTCTTCCAGCTTTAAAAGACGGAAAGCAAGACCCGCCACCCAGAAAACCCAGCACCAGCCTTCCTGAGCCTCTAGGTCCCTGGCCGCCTCTCCCACTGTCTCCACACTCAAATCCCAGTTCCTCTCCCATCCCCACCTCCGCTGACCTCACCGCAATTGGCTCCCCCCGCCCCCACCTGCCCAGAGCTGCCTTCCTCCCTCCCGGTGATCCCCGAGATGCCACCCCCACCCCGGCCACCCCTGGGGCAGCGGCAGCACTGGGACGGTGGTCACTCGCTGGTCCCCTGGGGAACCCCGCCTCCCTGGCTCCAGGATGCCCCCTTCTTGGATGTCGAACCAAACTAAAATGGAGTCCCTTCTGTCAAGGGCAGAACGGAGATGCTCAGCGCAGGTGCATAAAGGACGTTTGGCCTAAACTTAGGGGAATTTACAGGGGAATTTTTTTCAGAAATCAGCACAGGGCCCCGGGCACACCCCAAGCACCAAGCCGGTCCGCTCTCTCTGCGCTTCCTCCCTCCCCTCAAGTCCCTTGAATCAGCTCCCTCGATCCAAGTAAGAAAGACCATTAGGTGACCAACCGGCAACAAAAGCCAGATAACTTCCGTATTTATCCCATAAAAACCCCTTACCTGCGAGCAGGGAAGGCATTGCCCGCAGCCCTGAGCCGACAGCCCTGCAATGAGCCCGACTCCTGCTTTGTTTTATTCAGTGTGCAGTTTGGGTTTTGACTGGGTTTTCCTGCCCTCCCCTCCTGCCCACCGGCTTCGTCCCTGCTCTTCCGAGCTCGCCTGAAGGCCCAATAGCGGGGCCTGTTATATAAGGGAAGTTTTGTTGGAACACAGCCCCAGCTAGGGATTATGGCCTTGTTGCTTGCTTGCTTGCTTTCTTTAAGATTATTTATTTGAGGGATCCCTGGGTGGCGCGGCGGTTTGGCGCCTGCCTTTGGCCCAGGGCGCGATCCTGGAGACCCGGGATCGAATCCCACGTCGGGCTCCCGGTGCTTGGAGCCTGCTTCTCCCTCTGCCTGTGTCTCTGCCTCTCTCTCTCTCTCACTGTGTGACTATCATAAATAAATAAAAATTAAAAAAAAAAGATTATTTATTTGAGAAAGACAGAGACGGAGCATGAGTAGGGGAGAGAGGGAGAAGCAGAGTCCCCACTGCTGAGCAGGGAGCCTGACGTGGGGCTCGATCCCAGGACCCTGGGACCCCAGGACCCTGAGATCACGCCCCGCGCTCCACCGACCGAGCCCCTGGGCGCCCCCCATGGCTTGGCCTGGCTACTCTCTTGGTACCAGGGGCCAGAGAAGTTGCAACAGAAGCCTCCTGGACCTCGAGGCCTAGACATGTACTCCTTGGCCTTTAGGGATGTTTGCTGACCCCTGTCCTGTGCTACCTGGCCCCCGAGTTAGCTCGTGACATCACCCCGAGTCCCTCCCTTGCGCCGTTCCCTGCGCCCGGGGCCTCTTGTTCTCGCTCTCTCCTTCCAGGCCTGCCTTGGCCCTGGCACTGAGCCCTTCCCCGACCATCGTCCCCGACACGGCAGCTCCCTGAGGAGGACAACAGAAGCAAGAGAAACGTAGCTTCATCCGAGTCTCCAGCCTGCAGCCCCCGAGGAATACCTGAGCCGGGCAATAGGACGTTCCTGTAGGAAGGCCCGGCTGCCCTCATGGTGATGCTGCATCCCAGACGTCCAACAGCCAGACCTCCAAGGTCCTGCAGACGTCGGAGGTTCAACATCTCAGCGACAATTCCCGACACACTGACGTCGTCTCTACCCCCGTCCCTCCGCAAACGTAAAAGTCCGTCATCAGCCACTCCTCACCATCCCGGCGCAGCTCTTCCTGCCCATGAGTCCTGTCCCCGTGCTTTAATAAAACCGCCTTTTTGAACCAAAAATATCCCAAGAATTCTCTCTTGATTGCTCCCAAACCATATATCAAATCACGTCATTGTGGTGCCCAGTGTGGGGCCTGAGTCATCTCATCTCCACCCTGAGTCTCGGTGCCAACTTGGTATTTTCTCTTTCTTTACTTTCATTTCAGGGGCTTTTCAAGGAGGTTCAGTCTTCCTGGAACACTTTCCTGTTGATTGCTCAGGAGGCAATCCTCCAGCCCAGGGCCGTCCTACGCCGAGGAGAGAGCCTGCCTTCCGGCTGGAAGCTACACCCCTGGCCAGAGTGGTAACAAGACCCAGAAACTCGATGCCTTCTCTTTATTCCTATTTTTATTTTTAAGATTATATTTATTTACTCATGATAGACACAGACAGAGAGAGAGAGGCAGAGACCCAGGCAGAGGGAGAAGCAGGCTCCAAGCAGGGAGCCCGACGTGGGACTCGATCCCGGGACCCCAAGGTCATGCCCTGAGCCGAAGGCAGGTGCTTAAACAGAGGCATCCGGGCATCCCTCTTTATTCTATTCTTCAAAGATTTATTTATTTATTTGAAAGAGGGAGAGAACACACACAAAGGGAGAAGGAGAAGCAGGCTCCCCACCAAGCAGAGGGCCCGACATGGGGCTCGATCCCAGGACCAAGAGATCGTGACCTGAGCGAAGGCAGATGCCCAACCGACTGAGCCCGCCAGTGCCCCTCCTTTATTCCTACTCTTATACACAGTTGTCTGTCTTGGGCTCAGGACAGCCACCTAAGTGACCAGCACGGCAGCCAGTCTTAAGACTCCCATGTGAGGTTTCCTCCTCACCGGGGCTCACGTGATCCCCTTCACATCCCAGGCCCAGCCACTTCCGGCTGCGAGAACTCCCCCAGGAGCCAGCGGAAAGCAGCACCTGATTGAATTAAAACCCGGCCGGGACCATTTCCTAGGGAAGTTGGCTACAGGGACTAGATTGGTTGGGATGTCGCTTAAACCACACGGATTCCTATCTTTACCGTTTTCTCTCAACCTCCTCTAGCACTTCAATGACGTTGGCTAATTTCCTCTTGTAAAACTTTTCTAGCATGTTCCACGGGTTAAAAATGGCGGGTTCTTTGTGGCACAGCATGGCAAGGCGAGGACCCATTTGTAGCCTCGGACGCAATGGGGAAGCAGGGTGGGGGCGCCAGCATCCCTCCTACAGGGCAGGGATCATAGCAATTTTGATAGAGGGACACTTTGGGGTCGCTTTGACACCAGGCGCCTCGGATACATCCTATGTGGGATGCCACCAGGGAGTGGCGGGGGGTGGAGGGTTCTTGGTAACAGGCCTTCTAGGCTTCTTTTTCAGTTCCCAAGGACCCTCCCTTGGGAAGCCCTTTTACCCAGTGGAAACAAATGGGATTGCAAGATTTAAGAAAGGAGCGGTCTTCCGGAACACTGCGTGGCCTCTCCTTAGGAGACAAGGGAAAATGGTCCGTTAATGGGACCCTGAGCTTCAACACAATCAATCCACTAGGTCTCTTCTGCAGGACACAGGGTGAGCGGATGGAGGTACCCGGTGGCCAGGCCTTCCTGGCCCTCAGTCAGGGCCCCGAGCTGCGGGCCTCGTAGAATGTGTTCGATTTTCTAGACTGGCCAGTCTCCTGACACACGGGATGATGTCGTCTAAACAGGCTTCCTCCGGCCAAATCCAGTTTGCTGGAGGAAACCCGGGCGGTCGCTGACGAAGGGGACGCTGCCTCACCGTTGCTCCTGACAATCCCAGATCCCTCCCCGGGATCTGGGGATCCTCTCCCCGCTTCATTGCCTGGGTCAGTGGCTCTGATCATTGGAGCCAATTGTCTTGGGACGGGGCCTTCACCAATATTCCCAAGCAGCTGCCAAAATCCCTTTTGTTTCGGGGAAGTTCCCTGTCTTCTCCGGCCCGACATGGACCGCCTGTTTCCACTTGTTGGTGGAAAGAAAATCTGTCATTTCATCCGTCCAGGCTGAGGGGCTTCAGGTCCGGGAATCCTCTTTCCCTGCCCCCTGGGCTTTCGTCCACCGCCAACCCTCCTGGAGGCGCCTCGGGGGCTCCTCAGGGGCTCCTCTCCCTCCCTCTCCCGTTCCCCCTGGTTCTGCACCACCTCGGGGACCACCTGGCTCCCGTGCCCTCCTGGCGCCTCCACCTCCCTGGCTCCTGCCCCTTCTCTCGCTGTCAGGGAGCGAGGAGCACCCCAGCCCTTGGACTTACACCGC